GAGATTGTTAAAGTTGGAGCATATGAATTTCAACATAAAATATTATTATTTATTATAATTAAAAAAACAATAAACACAAATGCCGGTAGTTTATATAAATAAACGAATTGTTTATTTAGGTAGCAAAATTCACCTTAATAAACTTTAATGTGAAAAGTCAGATTATAGTCTAAAATTAATTAATTCATTTACAACAAACTATTTGAAACTGATATTCAAAACACAGTAACTAAAATGAAATACAATAAATATATATAACACGTAAGAGAAGTTTTTTTATACCTTTGAAAATATACTACCATAGTTTTATCCACGAACATCGCTGTAGGCCTGTACCCCCTGATGTATTTCACAGTGCTCTGAATATATCAATTATGCTTATTTTAAGGTCCAAGCTCCAAATCTTTTACGTAACTAGCGACGCCCCCTGGTTTTATGCTACGTTAATGCACCACAGGGTATATATATATAGATCGTTTACTCAAATCGAACTTTCCAATTTGAAATAAATTTTTTATAAATAATGTACATTTGTAATGATTTTCTGGAATCAGCGTAAGCTATCACATTGCCAATAGCCTCGTATCTTACCAAGTTGCGTCCTAGCCCTATTGAAAGCTACGATGTAGTTTACTTATTAGAGGTTTAGGCCCGGCATGGACAGATGGCTAGGGCGCTCGACTGGCAATCTGAGGGTCGCGGGTTCGAATACCCATCCTACAGATATGCTCGCCCTTTCAGCCGTGGGGGCGTTATAATGTGATGGTCAATCCTATTATTCGTTGGTAAAATCGACTCGCAATATGCACTCGCGGGTTCGAATCTCGTCACCGAACATCCTAGTCATTTCAGTTGTGGGGACATTATAAAGTTACAGTCAATTACACTATTCGATTAGAGTAGCCCTCGAGAACTGGCATAACTAGGGTGTGTGTGGGGGACATGCCCCCTCTTTGTCTTGTATTTTTCACCTGTTTTTCCCTACAATTCCTAATTTCGTTATGTAAATTTTCGCAGTTTTACTCGCACACTAATCGCCAAGTCATTCCAGGCCCCCAAGGTGATCGATAAGTCACTTGATTGAATTGATTTACTTTCTAAATCATCATATATCTGTATAGGAAAAATTAAAGATATTAATTAGTTTATAATGTTTGATAACACTGAAATAAGGTTGTTTGTTTGTAGTCAAGCGCAAAGCTACACAATGGGCTCCCAGAGCTGTTCCCAACACCGGTACCGAAACCAGTTTTTAGTGTTATAAGCCTTCAGACTTACACTAAGCCACTGGGATGGGGGTGTGAGTAACCCAAACAGCAATGAACGCCCTGTCCGAAGTGACGGTTTTTGTCTACCTAATTCGTGAGATTATTATGAGATAACTAATTCATTTTTTAAAGAAATCATTGAAAAAAGGTTTATAGTTGGCGAAAAACGTTTAACAACATATTATGTTACCTTGTAAATTTAAATTAAATTCAAATAACAACTATCTGTAAATATTCTAAGAAATATATAAGCACTAATAACACAGGCCTGCGAATTTAAACTTCATAAAAGTTGTTTGGTTTTAATAATGGATTTTCCA